TATCTCAAGCACATGAGTACAATTTTGTGAAGACCAGTTAAGTAGTTCTCGAGAAATCGATCAACTTGAAAATTTAGACAATATTCTAGAGGTGCTGTAACAATTAATAAAATCCAAAAAAAAAAAGATTTTTTGATATCCATAAACCCATATAACTCCATAAGCAGAATCACACAAAAAAAATTAGCGGAAAAAATGACGTTGAGCAATCAACTTGAATACGAAGTACACAGCGTTGCATTGATTTACTTGCTGAAACCGAACGCTGCGCACAATTGCTTTTGCCCCACATACAACACACACAACACAGCAGAAAGTGAAGCATAGAAAAAATCACAAAAGAAGCTAAAGAAACCTGTCTCTTATACACATCTAGATGTGTATAAGAGACAGCGAAGTACACAGCGTTGCATTGATTTACTTGCTGAAACCGAACGCTGCGCACAATTGCTTTTGCCCCACATACAACACACACAACACAGCAGAAAGTGAAGCATAGAAAAAATCACAAAAGAAGCTAAAGAAACAGAAAATGGGAAAGGCAGCTTATGTAAAACCAAATTTCTGTGAATTGAGGTGAACTTAAACAAACACTGTTGAAAAATGGCGGAGAAGAACAGTAACAAACGAAAAAGTAAGCAAACGCGTTAGCTTTTCGTGACCTTGCACACACTGTGCTAGGAGAATGGAAGTACAAATATTTGCTTGAACGAAAATGGTGAAGTGAAGTATTGGCTGGAGTCCACTTTCGGCAAATTAAAGTAAGCAAATAAAGACGTTTTTATGAATATTCAACAGTGTTAAGTGAAGTAGGTGAATTTTTCCGAAAAAAACAATATTCAATTGGCAGGCTATGTCTAACATGGTTTTTCTACGGAGACACGCTACTAACTTTTTAATATTTAATGCAGTAATGTTGAAGGCAGTTGCTTTTAATTGCGCAGCGAAGAAAATAAGTATTTAAACGGCAGGCGGTACGCAGCGCAATTAAAGGTTCAGAAGCAATTAATAGAAGATAACTGGGGTTAAACATTTCCGCATGAGTGTACAGTAAAAATATATTGTAAGTGCTGCTGTTTATAAGTTTAGAAAAGCAATTAAAACGCAATTAACAAAGCAGCTGCAGACTTCACAAGCGCTTTATTCCTTTATGAGTATATACATATATATATATATTATTGGATTTCTGGTATATATATATATATATTTTTGGTTTTTTTTTTTTCAAAGAACAAAATTTTTGACTTAGAAAGCTGAGAGACTTCTCAATTCTTTCACCTAATATACCGAACAATCTGCTAGTTTCACATCAGCAGCAGCTTATTCCATTGGAATTGGCTCATTTCATTTACTCAACTCACCTTGCAGCCGTTGGTTTTGCTTCATAAGCACTATATTTTAATATTGCCGTTAGTCTTGTCCTCATGCTATAAAGCTTAATAAATAATGAAATGACTCAGTAGCATTTTGAGTTGTCATTACATATGAACTTCTTCCCACACAATTAATTGCCAACTGCCTGTGAATAACCTTCCGATCACACGCTGCGTATAAGTAACATTTATGAAACAATCAAATTGTTGGCGTACACGTGCGTTTACTAATAGTCACCCATGCGTTGCACAAATTCAATTTACATAGCATAAAATAATCCTTAAAACACGATTTTAAGCACTTTATCTGCAAAGTACACAACAACAAACTGTTCGAACAGCAACTTTAATGCCTACAAAGTCAAGCACAACTTAAATGCTGATATGCAAATCGTGAACAAAACCCATAAAATACTTTCAATTAATGGCCAAAAACCGCTTCATAGAAGAATTTCGATGTGGATGATACTTGAATGCTGTGCGCTAATTCCAAATAAGTAAATGGCTGACGTGGAGATACTGCCCTGAGCAGATGTGTATTCGTGTGTAAATTTTAGGACAGCTGGTTGACGATTATGAGATTTGAGTACATGAAAAGGTGCGTCGTTATGTGCTGTGTAGAAAATGTATCTACGTTGGCCAATAGGCATGTGCTATTAATGAAAGGCATGGTAAATGTGCTGGACTGTAAATTAATTACTTTTTAATAGCAAAGTTTAACGACACGCCAGGTGCGACATTTTGATGGTGTTCATAGAAAACTTGGTAAGTGGATTGAAGCGATGAGTACGGAATGCAAGATACGAGCAATAATTGCTTATCGCTTAGAGTTAGAGGGTTCTTCAACAACATGACGGCGCTTCGAACTTGGCGCCTCTGAGGAAGAAGTGGTAGCGGGAGTTGAGTCGGTTTCAAAATTTTGCGTAGCTCTAGGGCGGTCCCTCTTCTTTTGTGTAGAACTGGAAAACACCGGCTTAGCGCTTAATAGCACAGTTGTGATGTCCATCTAGAGTTTTAAAAGTGACACTTGCTTGGCGTCTCGATTAACGATATTGAGTTGTCTCCAATTCAGGGGCCAGGAATTGATAACTACTGTGCGTAGGCTCCAGTGAAATATTTTCCAATACCACTTATTGGAGCGATGTTTCACTTTATACAGCTCCATAAACACGTCTTTATTCTATTTTGAAGTCGATCTCGAAACCTCAACAAATTTTCCAATGCTTAAATGTGCCGCTTTGATCAACTCCCACAAAGGCTTATTATCCAGCCAGCGCACTGAGGCAATGCCAAGATTAGTTTCGCATTTCATACGTTCCCCTTTCAAGTCTGACTCAGACTTTCGTTCACACTTTCCCATTGGACTTTTTCGGACCGGCTTAGAGGGGCTTTGAGCAACGACGATTTTTTCCTTTAAAAATTTCTTGGTTGGCAGTACCTTTTAAAATCTATTTCAAACCTCGACGACGACGACGATGTCTTCATAACTCTCTTTTCAGAAGATTTGTCCCAGTATGTCTTTAATATCTGTAGTATGTCTGCTTGAGACAGATTGCAAATCAACTTTGGGGCTGCAAGTTTTAAACTAAGGAAGAAGTTCCCGTTTATTCAGGTAAGCGGACATAGCTCGCTACGCCAATAAATCAATAACATATAAACTTTGTATGGTGACCGACCCTTGCTGCTGGCTGTTACCAACTACATGCCAAACTTAGTACCCTATACCTTATATTAGGTTGTGAAAAAAGTCTTGCGGTATTTTCGCTAGTTGGCGCTGAGAGCGCGTAGTTCTAGTTTTATTCGTCGCATCGGGTCATGCTATACCTTT